ATAATACATTTGGAGAGTATAATGTATTACTTACCAAATGAATAATTACGTCAGTTCAAATGCGTTAAGTGTTTTAACGATTTTGAGAGACGATGAATTACATACCATACAGTGGCTACATAGAATTACCTTAAAGCTAACACGCATTGTAATTACGTGAACATTTTTTTTTTATTTCCCATTTTTTTGCTCGCATCTACGACAGTGGCATTGTTGTAATGAAGTATGAAGTCAAACACTTTTGAGGGAAAGCTGTCCAAACCCATTATCGTTTTGTGGATGTGCCGGGGATTGAAACCGTCCCTCCCACACCGAAGTCCGAAACGCTAACTACTGTTGATACTGTTCGATGAAATGGCGACCATACATAGTAGGTATTTTAAGCCAAGTATGAATGGAGATGAGTGTATGATGAGTGGTGCGATCTTGTAGTCTTGTTAGTGACTGAGGCCGACATTCCTTAGACACAGCTGTTAATTAATAGCCCATACAGCTAACGGCAACTAAGGGACCTACAGTTTATAGTGGAATCCGAACCACATTTTTTCCTTGCTATATACGAATTGGTCTAATTATCAGGATAGTACTGCGGATAGTCGTAGTACTCACTCGTGCGGACGTTAATCCACACCAGGGAGTATCACACCCACAGTGCATGCCTATAAATATCCACAATTCGTGACCTCCTAGTAGCTGGATTACAGGACGACGCCACCCGTCCCATTCTAGGCTAGCAACACAACCAACTGTATGTTTTATACAGTAGGTCAATAACGGCATACTAGTTGACTTTCAAAGTCAAAGAAATAGATAGCTAGGGTACACAAACATATGGCTTAACACCAAAACTCACCTTTTTGGGCGATAAATAGTGATTTTGTAAGTTGATTTGTATTGTGTATTTGTCAAAACGAAATCCGTTGAAATTTTGAAATGCTATAACGCATTATAATTACGTGAACAATCTTTAGATTTTTCCTTATTTTTGATTATAGGGCGTGAAACGGTATACTAAATGGTATTATAGAATGGAATGTTAAAATAGTATAGAATGTTTTATTTTAGTGTAGAAGGCATACATTGTAATACGTGTTACGTATATTTTAACGAGGGGCATAAACGGTACAGTTGTGCAACGGTATGCAGGTCCAAACACATATAGATCGACACAGAAACTAATATTTTAGAATAAATAAAACTTTGAAAGTTGGCCTAAATCGGCAGCTCTACCAGGACAATGTACAAAATGTAGAAATTGGTCAAATATTGCCTAAAACGTCAAGACACACTTTTAATAGAATATAATAAATTTATAATCAAATATAGCTGAAAGGCATGGTTGTTATTATACAAAATAGCAAAATAAAAAAGTACATAAATATAGGGTAGATGCCTGAGTTTTACACAACTTTTTTTGTAATAATAGGAATAGTTATAATGGGTGTATTACTTTTATTCTTAATTGGTAGATAAATTATTATAATGTTACTTAAAATTTATAAAATAACTTTGAAATCTCATTTAGTCACAAATAACCCACAATATTACGCCACATAAAGTGTGTTCTTCACACGGGGGTATTACAAAAAAATAATATACAAGTATATTTAAATTGCAATCAGCTTACTAGTAAATAACTCCTTAAGAATAGCAGTAGTATATTAGTTCTCCAGGTCCTTGAAATGTGTTTTCGCAAAATAGTTTTTTAAGTCCTCAAAAAGTAAAAAGTGCCGTGACAGGATACACGAGTCCTCAAAATGACGTTTTCATAACTTAAAATGTACCTTTTGAGGACCTGGCTCGGGGACTTCCAGGTCCCGAAAAGGTGGCACGGCGAGCAGTTACGCCAAATAGTATAAGTCCTCAAAAAGTAAAAATCGTCGTGACAGGATATACAGAGTCCTCAAAATGTCGTTTTTGTGACTGAAAATAGACCTTTTGAGGACCTGACTCGGGGACTTGCAGGTCCCGAAAAGGTGGCGTAGCGAGCCGTTAGGTGCTCGAAAGGTGTCATACTTAAATCTATATATATATATATATATATATATATATACGTCCGTGAACGCGATAACTTGAGTAATTTTTGTCCGATTTTGATGAAATTTGGTTTAAAGGTGTAAAGCGGGATAAACTTGAATGAGTTCGCGAACCAGCATGATCGGTCCATGGGAACGGGGCTTTACGGGGGGTTTTATGGGGTAAAAATTGGTTTTTCTCACTTTTGACCCTCAAAACACAAAATTTCCCAATTTCTCTTTAGACCTTTTTAAAGAGCTTAAAAAACAAATAATTTAGTATATAAAAGTATTTTTGTTCGATTATTAGTAACGGAGAAAATTAAAAAAATTGTAAATTTAAAATTCCCATGTTATTCTAATGGAGAATATTGTCAAATGTTGTAGTTTGTTTGTTTATGAATATATTTTGATCAAACTTGGTAAATTTATTTATTTTGTACTAAGCTATCAATATTTTACTCAAAAACACACTTTATTAGTTTCCTTGTAGCAGCAAACCTAGGTACTCGTTAAACCTAATGTTATTAAAATATATTTACCGGTAACTGAAAATAAATTCAGCAGACAAATGGAAATTCGCTTAGTCAGCAGCTTGCTGCGGCGGGGGTATTTAAAGTTTTTATGACCTGAGAAAATTAGGATGTCATCAGCATGCCCATATATCACAATTGGTTATCATGTTTAGTAAATCATTCAAGTATATAATGAACAGTATTGGTCCAATTTGGCTTCCTTGAGGTACCCCATATTTTATCTCCTTTTCATCACTAAATTCATTCATAACCTTCACTACAAACTTTCTGTCCACATTCAAATAGTAAACATTTCATTTCAACGAAGTCAGTTGGTTGTGTGTAGCAAACTGTTAAATTAGCAAACTTATTGACTGTTTACAATTAACATATGTTCTTCTTCTCACTTTTAATTTCTGACAACAGCTGGAGTTTCATAACAATTTTTGTTTCCCATGTTAATCTTATGGAGAAATACGAAACTTTAAAGGGCCCTAGGGTCTCACTCTCTAATTATTTCCCTAAAAAGAAAGTTTCCTGCACAACTTCACGTTACGCTCTTTCCAATGAGACCAAAAACATGTCAATCGGTTCAGTAGTTTTGGAGGAGTAATTGTCACAAAAAACCTGCTTGCGTATTAAATAAGTACGAGAGGTCGTCCAGTGGTCGAAACTCGACCAAAAATATGTAATGTACTCACTTCTCTATTTTCACCCCACACTGTAAATAAAACATGTGATTGGAGTTTCTTCCATTTGTTTTGATTTTCTGTTTATATTTCGTTGTTATTTCGTCACCAGCATGGCAACGCATAAGATCCATGTAAATTTTTTCAAATTTTTAAACTCATTTTTTGCGCTTATCTTTGAGCCTATTTAAATTTATAAAGGGATTCTGCACACCTACAGGAAAATTGCTTTCTAACGGTATGCGCAGATTTACCCCACGATGCACACAAGCTGAGAAAAAAGGTTTTAAAGAAACATGCTTGCCTATTAATATATAGATAGATAGATAGAGATAGATTATAAAAATAATTTGTTGGATTTTTGTATATAGCAAATCGATCCCTAAATATTTATTTTTGTAGACATTTTGGGTATAAATTAAAACTCTATCCTCTAAATATGCCTTTTGCGGCCTCTATATATGCCTTTTGCGGCCGTTTGGATAATGATCCCGTGAAAGCCCTGTTGTAATATTTGATACTCTGTCTTTCCTTCTTTAGTTTATGTATAGTTTGTTAAATCATATGTTATTTATGTTTTTGTTAATTGACTGTTTGTGCTCAATCCTCTAACATGTTTAAGTATCATTCCTAAGTAAATTAAAGCCTTGTTCTTATCAGGTAATCAATTTCATTTCTATTACAATTTAATTTACTTAGATCAAGAAGAATGGATCGTCTTCTATGTCCAAATATACTAGAGTTGAATCCAGAATCAAACTATTCATCTACAGTTTGGAATCACTGGCAACACAGATTCAAAAATTTTATTAAAAGTACAAATGCTAATGAGGAAGAGAAATTTCGTCTTCTTATCAATTACATATTACCTACCATATATGAATACGTAAGTCAATGCCATTCTTACAATGAAGCTTTAACTGTCCTCAAAAATGTATTTGTTAAACCTGTAAACGAGGTTCTTGCTAGACATAACCTCTTTACTCGCCGTCAAGAAACAAATGAGACTGTTGACCGGTATTTAGAACCATTTAGACTACTTAGTCGCGACTGCCAATTCAAAGCAGTTACAGCGGAAAACAATCGTGATGACTGCATTCGTGACTCATTTATTAGAGGTCTTCTAAGTCCCGTAATACGGCAACGCCTACTCGAAAATGAAAATTTGACTTTGGTGGATGCTCATGCTCAAGCTCGTGCTTTGGAGATGGCTCAACTGCATTCCTTGCAGTATGACACTCCTTGTGCAACAATAAATGCTGTTTCAAATGACTTATTGACTAAGGACTCTGCTACTGATAAAACCACTAGTATTAGTCATGACCCTGCTGTAGGAGCTGTGCGTTCCAAAAGCTACTTTTGTGGTGGATTTAGACATCCTCGCATAAACTGTCCAGCAAAGGACCAAACTTGTAATAGTTGTGGAAAGACAGGCCATTTTCAGAAAGTTTGCCAGTCACAATCAAAGAAAACTACTTCTGCTATTCAAAATTCTGTGTGTGAAATTCCTTGTTCTATCTCACACCAGTCCAAAGTTAAAACCATTGTCACTATTAACGGTTTCAAGGTTAAAGGTATGCTTGATTCTGGAAGTGACTTAAGCTTGATTGATGACAAAGTAGCCTGTCAACTAAATTTGAAAATTCACAAGATGAATGAAGAGGTGGGATTAACATCCAATAATCATAAAAATCACTGGCAATTGCAACGTAACTCTTGAGATGCTTGGTCATAAATACCCTCATACCAAACTTTCTGTTATGTCTAACCTCTGTTTGTAGGACGAGATTTACTGCAACTTCATTCATCAGTTCACTTTGAGTTTGGAGGAGATAAGGATCCTCTAGTTGTAAGTGCTCTTACTGCTGCAAACGTTGAACCTGCTAATCTATTTACCAACCTGACTTCTGATTGTAAACCTATAGCTATCAAATCCATTCGCCATTCACTCAACGATTCTCAGTTCATTGAAGCAGAAGTGAATAAGCTGTTAAATGATGGAATCATTGAAAAGAGCAATTCACCATGGCGTACCCAAGTGCTTGTTACTTCTTCACAAAATCACAAGAAAAGGATGGTCAGAGATTATTCTAGACCAATAAACCGCTTCACAGGATTGGATGTCTACCTAATCTCTTCCATTAATGAAATAATCTCTAAAATTGCTCGTTACAAAGTCTTTAGTACGATAGATTTGAGAAGTGCCTATCATCAAGTCCCTATGTGGCTAAGCCATAAGACTGTACATAACAAATGTTTTTATTTTCATATGCTTTATAACACAGATGATATTTGGCTGGTGATTGTAAATAAACTATTTGGAATGAAAACTTAACTGGATGAAATGAGTGTTCTTTATTCTTTTAACTAAAAAATTTTATCCATTAAACAAATCCAATTCTTAACTTATATAAACTAACTAACAAGAAACTCAAAACTATACTTCTAAACTTTACTCAACTAAATTTATATACACGCTTTCACACTTAAAACTTTTAACTGGTCCAGAAAAATAACTCAATCCTCAATACAAATTTCGCGTCATGGTAGCAGAGCGTTGACGGACTTTTTCCGTGGTTGGAGATCCCCAAGGCAAGGGTATAGTAAAAACTCAGAAATGTCTTCTCAACGGCTACGTAAGAACTACATCGAGGCAAGCAAACGATTGAAGACTGCAATTGCCGAAGCCAACGACTTTAGGTTAGGAGGCACGACGTTATCACTGACCACGCTGATCCTGACCGGCAGTCTAGACATAACCACAGAAAACGTACTACTATAACCCAGAATGCCAACCGCATGGTAAAAAGCATTAAGCGGTTTGAGAGAGCTTTGCCTGTCAATCCGTAGGCAGCGCCACCAGCGTTGCTATGCTATTGCATGGCAACGCTGGTGGCGCTGCCTACGGATTGACAGGCAAAGCTCTCTCAAACCGCTTAGTGCTTTTTACCATGCGGTTGGCATTCTGGGTTATAGTAGTACGTTTTCTGTGACATAACCCCCGCCCGATCACGTCGTGTCCCGTTACCGCTATAGTATTATCTTTAGTTTTTAACCTTAAATGTTAGTTTCTATGTTCGTGTACGTGTGCGTGGTAAATGTATTTATTTATTACGAATTGACGACCTTCAAATGAAGTGAGAAGACATCTGTACTGGCCCGACGATGACTCCTTTGTGAGTCGAAACCGGTTGCAATTTAGCAACACATTGATCACATAGATGCAGGTATTTACACAATTATTTAGGAAGTAAATTCGCTTAGGGCTCTGCCCCAGAAGCCTTTAAAGATCCCTCCACAGATTTGTTTACATTTTGGCCATGTGGATAATACTTTTTAATAAAACAGCTGTTAATTTAAAAATTGTATTTTAAACAACACACATTTATTAGGAGTTAGTACAGGTTTTTGTCTATGGTACAGGTAAAATTATACCGTACTAAAAAACCAGTAGAAAACATAAAAATTGGTCCGTTCATGATAATTGCAGGAAACGTAGTACTTACCATTAAGTTTTGTAATCTGAAGAGTCCCTAGTGATTGTGGGGGCGGAAGTACCATTTTATGGGGGTTAAGGTTTATGGGGGTAGTGATTTTGATAAAATTTTTATTTATGGGATCCAAGCAAGTGAGGTGTTGTTTTATATGTTTCTTAGGATGCAGAATCGAACAAGAACATAAAAAATGCAATACAACCTACAGTGTATTAGACAAAATCGAATTTATTCTTGAAAAACTAAATATGACAAATTAATTCAGGAAATAATCCAGTTAATATCAATTATAACAAAATGCATCATGAGTTTATGTCATATGTTAAAGTTGTGCCGAAAATTAACCAAGAAACTAGTAGTTAATTACGCCTCTTTAAGCACCACGTGTCATATTGTTCATCAGCTACTGATGCATCATCACCATCCATGGAATCGTCAGGGTCTCTAACTCGTTCTTCTCCATCATCGACTTGACTTGATGCTGACAGCTAAGTGGGTATTGGTGGCAGAAACATATTTCAGTTCTGGTGGTGATCCTGCAACTTAGGGCGAAGATAATATATAAGACCATGAATGTAAAACCGCCAAGACCCCAATTTTTAAGGATCTTGGTCACCCGCAATGACGTCATCAAAATGGCGCTCGTAAGCGGATGCTGGGTCTGGTTATAATACCAAAATGCCTGAACCGATTTTAATGAAATTCGGCATACAAAATTTTACGTTTAGACGGGCACACATAAGAATCCCCAATTTTGACCCCACAAATCCCCAGAAAACCCAGTTCTCGTGGTCTGATCATGCTGGTTCGCGAACTCATTCGAGAAACGTAGGTTTACACGTTTTTTTACCAAATTTCGTCAACATTGGGTAATTTTTACTTGAGTTATCGTGTTAACGTTCTTTAAAAAGTACTCGTCTACAGTCATTAACACTGTTAAAGTTTGATGTTATGTTGTACAGATAAGTACAAAAGATCTTTTGATGATTCTAACGAGTTCGCAAACAGCATGATCAGACCATGGGAACGGGGTTTTATGGGGGACTTATGGGTCAAAATTGGGTTTTGTCATGTATAACCCTCTACACATAAAATTTTCCAATTTCTCTCTAAACCATTTTGGATACCATGATGATTTTGAATGTCTTAAAAACAAATCATTTTTGTTTATTGAAGTGTTTTAGTACGGTTTTGGTTACCTGCCGAGAAAATTCAAAAATTGTATATTTATCATTCACATTTTATTCTTTTGGAGAATAAGTAAACTGTTGTAGTTTGCTCGTTTATAGATATATTTTGATAAAACTTGGCAAATTTATTTATTTTGACCTAAGCTATTAATCTTACTAATATTTTAATAAAAACACGCTTCATTATCCTCTCTGTAGCAGCATACCAAATGAGGTACTAATTAAGCTTAATGTTATTGAAATAGATTTAATTGAAAATCAAATCAGGCAAATGGAAACTAACTTAATCTGTAGGTTTGCTGCGGTGGGGGTATTTTACCTATTCCATGAAATGCAGGGATGGCATCGCAACCTGTGATTGCAAGGAAAATGAAAGATTTCTGCAGATTTCTGGAGAGAGTTGAAAAAAACCACTAAACAATTTTTAATTATTTTAGTTATTAACGGCCGTTATTTTGAAATGACCTAATCAAACTCGAACATTGACAAACTGGGATTGGATATCGTATTCAAGCACTTGTATGTCAAATTTCATTAAAATCGGTTCAGGCGTTTTGGTATTACAACCACTTCATAGCAACCCAGCATCCGCTTAAGAGTGTCATTTTGATGACGTCATTACGGGCGACCATGGTCCTTAAAAATTGGGGTCTGGGCGGTTTTACATTCTTGGTCTTATATATTATCTTCGCCCTAAGTTGCAGGATCACCACCAGAACTGAAATATGTTTCTGCCACCCATACCCACTTAGCTGTCAGTGTCAAGTCAAGACGATGATGGAGAAGAACGAGTTAAGAGACCCTGACGATTCCATGGATGGTGATGATGCATCAGTAGCTGATGAACAATATGACACGTGGTGGTTAAAGAGGCGTAACTACCAGTATCTTGGTTAATTTTCGGCACAACTTTAACATATGACACAGACTTATGATGAATGTTGTAATAGTTGACATTAACTGGATTATTTTACCTTAATTAATTTGTTATATTTATTTTTCATCAATAAATTAGTCTTTTTCTAATAAACCGTCGGTTGTATTTATTTTATTATGTTCTTTTTCGACACCCCACTTGCTTGGATCCCATAAATAAAAATTTTCTCAAAATCACTACCCCCATAAACCTTTAACCCCCATAAAATGGTACTTCCACCCCAACAATCACTAGGGACTCTTCAGGTCTCAAAACCTCATGGTAATTACTATGTTTCCTGCAAGTTTCATGAACGGACTAATTTTTATGTTTTCTTAGGTGAGTTTTATCTGTTAATAGTCCAAAAGAAATATTTTCAATGTTATTTTCTGATTTTAAAATTGATTTTTTTCTATATCATGCCATGTGTTGCATTATAAAGTTCCATTACGAAATCAGTGGAAAATCCTTTTATCACAATAAATCTAACCATTGTTTCTTATTGAACTATCTCATAGCTATTTACGGGTTGGTGTCTGGCTTTTTCACACCTTTTCCCTATATTTTATCATATTATTCTAGAAAGATCATCGTAGGTTCATGAGATTATTGTCATACATGCTTTCAATCATTGGAAAAATCTTCGATTGTGTAATACAATACAAAATAATATAAGTGCAGAAGGGCACGCTACCCATGTGTCCATATTTTGTTAAATATAGTAACTGGATAAAACATTTTACAATATTTATGTAGAAATATGTGCATGATTTAGAAAGTCATTAAGCTGGAAAACTACAATATACTGCAGACTTTTCAGAGAGGGTACTTCGATGTATTCATTCAGCTTAGTGAAAACATAATATAGGTACGTATACAAATAAGATGTTGAACTCTCGGAGAACCTTTGAATGTTTATTAGATTAACAGAAAGGGTTGTGTATGTTTACTCGCGCTACTCAGCAACAAAAACCATTTAATTTATCTCAAAAAAATATATTCTTAAAGTGCACTGAGCAGCAGCCTAAAAAATCTATATAATAGAGTTACAAAATGCTCAAACTCGCATTGTGACATTTATAATTTGGATTATATTTCTCCAACATAAAATTCTTCTGCAGAAGAATTTTATTGTGCTCTTACCGTTTCTACATCCAAACACAGAAACCTTGCCTAAAATAGTACCTATCTTGACAAATTATTTGCAGTGGCCTATATTACGGACCGTAGCCCACTGCGTTGGTAACATTATTGAAAATAACGCGACATTTTGGCTGTAAACAATAGCACAAGAGTAAATACTATTTAAGCAGCTACTGTCATGAACAAAAAGGTCATATTCCTTTTAAACTAGATCACATCATCTTTTATAAGATACGTTGATTAACAATGCATGTAAACTTCTATATTTACGTGACAGCCTATTAACAGTATTTTTTTCTTTTTCTTTTTGGAAATGTGACATTGCTATGTGATT